CATAGCTAATTAGTGCACCCCATTTCATCCTTCAGCTTTCAGTCTTTTATTTGTTTGTTTCTAAAGGGCCACAATAATTACTTCAGTCCTTATTACATAAACAAATAATGTTTTAGAGAAACATATTTATTAAATGTAACTATGATTTAAAATGATGTGAATGAGTCCCAACAGACATTGTATGACTCAACCTGAGACACCCATGATGAAGGTATAAACCATGGAGTGGCTTATAGCACTCGTGGTTTCCACTCCTTAACTTAGTCACAATGAAAGCCATAGAAAGTATAAGGCAGAATCAGAGGGCTTGCCACACTGCAATGGGACCTTAAATGTGCTGAGGCAACCACCCTCTATGTAAATCATTAGGTAACTGTACTCCACTAGGTCAAGGTCCACCTGTTCATCAACATCTGCTTTCATGACAATCACTACATTCAAAGAAGTAATTTCCTGATATTGAAAGATCCAGGTATACAAAAATTCTAAAGAAATATATATACTCTTACAGCATCATATTTACTTTATATGTACATGCATCAGCTGTAGTAGTGGAAGTTCTTTCCTATCACTAAAATTCTTCACTGTGAAGCTGAGACTTTTAAAATTTTGCTTTATTTGAGAGTCTTCTAGTGTGTCTATTTCTACTATTCTACAGTGTTATTTTGCCTCCTGATAATGCAAACAGAGACTGAGCATCAAAAACAATGGCTTTTTTAAATGCATTGGAAAATGCTAGAGAGCCACTTTGTTTGCTCTACCTTCTAAACTTTCTTAATAAAGTCAACAAAAAGCTTTCAAAGATAGATCCTTACAATAGCAAATGTCAGTGAAGACCTTGTTAAACACAGTGAAGAAACTTGCCTGCTACAGCAAGCATTCCACCTAAATTGACTAGGTGGGTTTTTATTCATTGTTCAGGTACACTGAAGAGAATCTGTTCTCTCGCTCTCATGCTTTGTAGGTTGACACTCCCTTTATCTAGGGGCTTATAATAAGCAAGCTATATTCAATTTTCCAAAAGCAGATGTGCTCTCCTGGTATCCTAGAAACAAGTCTAAGTATGCTCTGTGGAAAGACCTAAGGTTCAAGTCAGTGATACAAATGGTTATTAATGTGCTATCACACAAACAGAGGTCTGGAAAATTTTAAACAAAATTTGTTCTAAGGACAAGTATCAAATTATTAGTAAGGGGGTGATTAAGAGATAAAGAGAGCAGTACGTAAGAAAAGTAGGTATCACAGAAATTAAACAAAATTATACATTACCTCTATACTATTGAGATTGGGATTCATATTAGATATTTCTTCCAAATGAAACTGGCAAATTTCACTTAAAATTGCACACATTATCTCAATTACAACAGATCTACAAGAGCAACTTCCTAGACTATAGAGGAGGAGCATATCAACCATCTAAGGATTAGGTTTTTATACACATAATAGTTGCAGAAATTAATCTATATTAACTGATTATATCACAACAGCTATCATTAAATAATATGAGGTAGAAAAAATTCTAAGTGTTCCCTGGGGTCTTCTATGTAATACTTATATAATGTAACATGCCATAAAATAAATTGTACTCTGGTGAGTCATGTCAGTTAGCTTCTGAAGCCTGAAATCTGAAATTACTCCCACTGAAGGAAAAAGGATATATAGCCTATTATCACACACATGGAGAATCAAATTAGAAAGCACAACAAAAGAACTTTCAAAATTCAACGACTATCTTTCCTTTAAAAAAAAAAAAAAAGAAAGCCACTCCCGACTTGCCCAGTAGGATCCACTTTAACCATTAATACACGACAGTTGGAACAGAGAGGGTCTCATAGGCAAAGGGGTTAAAACCAGGCTGGAGAAACCCACAGAAACAGCTGACCTGAACAAGGGGGAGCTCATGGACCCCAGACTAATAACTGGGAAACCAGCATAGGACTGATCCAGATCCCCTGAACATGGGTGTCAGTTAGGAGGCCTGAGCAGTCTATGGGGCCTCTGACAGTGGATCAATATCTATCCCTAGTGTATGAATGGACTTGGGGCTCCATTCCCCACAGAGGGATGCTCTCTCAGCCTAGACACACGGGGGAGGGCCTAGGCCCTGCTCCAAATGATAGGACAGACTTTGATGATCCCCCAATGGAAGCAGAAGGAGGATGGGATGGGGAGCCAGTGGGGGGCACGGGTAGACAGGAGAGAGAGGGAACTGGGATTGATATGTAAAATAAGATTGTTTCTAATCTAAATAAAAGAGAAAGAATATATTTGTCTTTTTACCTTTGGTTTTTGAAACAGGGCTTCTCTGTGTAGTCCTGGAACTCACTCTGTAGACCAGGCTGGCCTCAAA